ATGAATAAAATGGTAGGTGTAATAAGGAGATCAGAGACTAAAGGAAGACTAAGGCCACTCCAAGGTCCCTGGTAGGGAAGCCAGCAAGGGGACCAACAGGGCTCACTTGCCTGACAAAATGAATCATAAATTGTGAAGAGGCACATTTTTACTTGCACTGAATTCCAAGAAAAATGTAGCACATGGATTCTTTACACAGAAAACAGTGGCTATGTAATTGAAAATGTCTTCAGTTGTAATTTTTGGAAGACATGGGGATGCTATTGATAGGGCTATCTTTTTGCTAAAAGCAAGGATTACATGAACCCAAGGATTACGTGAACCCAGTATTGCGGAGTCCAGTTTGACATCAAAATAAACCTTGAGGAAGAGAAATGGACAGACGGAATGGCCCTTAGGCCCTCTCTGGTGTCATCCGTTAAACTGTTGACAATATCATAGTTAGGAGCCTATTCATAACTGAGCTCACTGAAGGGTACCCAACATGTAGACATATTTTTTGCTGACTTGAGATCCAAGAGCTTCAGATACCAAAAGCCTGCAAAGTTGATGATTTATTATAAAAACACAGGAGTCTGTGTACAGTCTTACTCAGACTGAGGCCATATCCCTTGTCTGGAGGCCGAAGGCAGAAATGCCTTCAAACAGAGCCAGCGGTGGAAAGCTCATGCACTGAGCTTGTTAACAAATGCAGCCAAACGTGGCAGATGCCATTTTTCATTGTGTGATTTTCATACGCAATTCTGGAAGTTAGGTTGCAGGCATGCCATAAGTGGTGGATGCCCAAATCATCTTGTTCACTCCAGTACTGCTAATATGAAATCCTTTTATAAAACACTTTACTTAATTCCCCAAAGAATTTTGGTGGGATTTTAATAAAGATAAAATAGAAAACTGTAAGTATAAAAAGGAGATTAGAAACTACTTAGAGCAAGGGCCAGGACAATTTGACTAGGAAGCTGTGTACAATGGTGAGCTGGTGCTTACCTCATCAGGCTGTTATGAGGATTACAGAGGGTAATATGTGGAAAGCAATTTGCCCATTGTCAGAACTCAGATTGATGTTAATCTTCTTCACCCCTTTCTTTTCTGTAGGCAAAGGGGAACCACTGAAGCTTTTTAAGAGACATGAAATGGTTAGAATTCCGTTTGAGAAAAATTACAGGTTCAGAAATAACAGAAGCAGCAATTCAAAGTTTTAAAAAATTTACATTTGAGCTAGGAACTGTGGGTCCCAGGAAGTACCCCACTTAAGGGGCTTAAAACATTCTCTTGTGTATAAAGCTTTGAGCCCAAGAAAATCACTCCCTTTAATTTAATCTTCCTACTCCTGGCAGTTAAGAAAATTTTCAGATTTCTCACATTTTCAGTTTTAAATCTAAGGCACTGTCTTATGTCATTAACAATTCCTTAGAGGCAAAAAATTATTCTTATTTTCATAGAACCTAACAGACTTGGACAAGAAAAAAGACTTAGATAATTGTGTGCTGAATTTAATTTTGAGTGGTTTTCCTTAACAACTTAGGCAAAATTTGTCCACATTGTGGTATGTAGAATATGATGCCTTAAAGGAGAAAATACTCCTGTGTTGAGAAGAATGCCACCTCCTCTCCAGGAATGTGAATAAGTCTTTCTGAAAGACTAGAACTTATTCCAGTGAAGTGCTCATTGCTCAATACATCTTTGGATCTTTTTTCCTTTTGTGGTGAGTACCGGCAAGATGATGAAAAGTGGGGATACTGAAGCTCTAGGCTCACTGGAGGCAACCACATTTCTACTTAGCAGCTATCCGGCCTTCAGGAATGGAGTCTGTTTTCTCATTTCTAGAATGGGGAAATCAATAGTACCTACCTTATAAACAAATCATACAAAAAACTTAAAATCTATTTGTTAACACCTACAGAGTAGGTACTATTGACTTTCATTCATACAAGATAGATACAAAGTGAACATGTGCCAAAGATTTTATTTCACTTACTATTTAATGAGAGAACCAGAGAAGTGTTAAAACATGTTCAATGGGGCTTTATTCTCAACAGGACAAAATTCATTTGCATAGTAAAATGGGAAATATTCACATTATTATAAGCTTTCAACAAATCAACATGTATCTCTAGACTTGTAAAATAATCACTTCAAAGACAGGGGCACACACTCTGCAGGACTGAGCATTCCATTGAGAGGATATCCAGCAATCCCTTCCGCCCATTCAAAAAGCTCAACCCTTTCCTTGCTTAGGGTTTTTGGGAAGATTTACAAATTAATCTACTTAAAGAACAGTCCAATTCATAGCAAACACTTGGTAAACATTGTTATTATTGCCGTCAGAATCTCTAGTATAGTATATTGCTTTGAATACCCCCAGTAGTTGTTTTTCAGTCAAGGAAGGAATATCCAATTTTTTTGGAAACAGCCATGGTATTTGAAACCAAATTTGTTAAATAAATACAGAATACTGATTTTGCTTTTTGAAAAAATGAAGTTTTTCTGACAACATAATGAGAATACTTTCACAACTAGGTGATCAGATACATTTAAAAAATCAATTCTTAGAGAATCCCAAATGTTTGGAATGTTTAGCTCCCCAAGATAAATTACTTAAAGAACTCTATATGAAGAATTGCAAAATCATGTATTTGCTTGCAAATGCACTCTGAGAGCTTCATGTACATCAAAGAAGGAAGTGCAATGCTTTTGAGAGTGGCACTAAAGCCACAGTGACTGCTGGGTCATGGGCAGAGGGTAAACAGCTGGGGTCTAGTTGCAAGGTCACAGCTGATATATGATTAGTGTGGGGGAAACCCATACAAGGACCTGCAAGCACTTCTCAGAAATAACTGTTTTGAGGGACAAGCTTATGATAAGGGATGATGCAATTACAGGAGGAAATGTTCTGTCATGCTTCCAGTAGTGAGTTTTCCACAATCAAGCAAAATATTCACCATGAACTGAAAAAATTAAAATCAATGTCAACCAAGTCATATCACCTCCCTTTCTACTTGGTTTTGCAATTCAATTTCCCCTTTATTTAAAAATGACACATCTATAGCCTATGTGACTGGGGCCCAGCCTGCCTCAGACCTTATCCTGCAGCACTTTCTATTTTGCCCACTGCATTCTAGCTACAATGATTGTAGGCAGAACTCACCTCTGCCTCAGGTCTTTTTTTTTTTTTTTTTTTAATGAGTTGGAGTCTCACTTTGTCACCCAGGCTGGGGTGCAGTGGGACGCTCATAGCCACCCCAGCGACAACCTGCTGGGCTCCGGAGATCCTTCCACCTCAGCCTTCCAAGTAGCTGAAACTACAGGCATGCACTACAACATCCAGCTAATTTTTTTGTATAGTAAAGACGAGGTCTTGCCAAGTTTTCCAGGCTGGTCTCAAACCCGTGGGCTCAGGCAATCCACTTGCCTCAGCCTCCCAAAGTGCTGGGATCACAGGCTAAGCCACTGAGGCTGGCCGCTGTCTTCTTTTTGATCTCTTCATGTCCAGCTCCTTTCTAATATTCAGATCTCAGTCTAAATGTTCTCACTCCAGTGAGACTCTTCCATCCCACCCATTCTAGTTTCTCTGGGAAGTCACTCTGTTCTAAGTCTCTTCAAGGCACTTCTCACTCTGAGAGGGACAGTGGTTGTTGTAGCCCCAGTGCCCCAAACTATACCTGGCATACTCTATGCTCAATATATATTTGTTTAATGAATAGCTGAAGAGATCAAAGGCCTCTGGAAAAAACAAGGCACTCTCTGAATAGCAAATACTTTTGTTAGTGAATAAAACCTTCCTTGCTTTCATCTACTAATTTCTCCTAGAAATGAAGCAGTATCGTATTGATTACTCTCATGGCTTATACCCTGCAAATGAAAATCTGCTGACTTTCATCAAGCAAGGAAGGACTAGAATGCAGGTTGCTTTTTATTACACTTCAAGGAACAACCATTCATTCACTGTCTACACATCCTTCCTTCAGGCATCACCGTGAGACTCTTCGTTCATACTGGGTTGCTTTCATCCATTTCCCTTGGAGAAGTGAAGGGCTTAAGAGAGAAAAGCAGTCCCAGAGGTTACAGGAGGAATGGTTAATGCCACTCTGCTCAGAGCCTTGGCCAGGGATGTCCAGATGGCCTGGAGGCAGCCTGGCAAGGAAGCCTGAATCAGGGCTGTGGGGTAACAGCGGGAGACATTCTTCATCAGACCATAAGCCAGGACCTGTGCAGAGGAGCCTTCTGCCATAAAACAAAAACTTAACAATGGCTTATTGGGTTAGTTGTGATTTTCAGCTACACATGACAGAAGTTAGTATTAAGTCCAATAGTAGAGGTTCAAAAATGTGAATACACACCATCTAATGATGCACGAGAGAAAAAGGCCACTGCTGTTACTTGACTCTATTACAGTCTTCCTATCAGAAAGATTAAGTGAACTCCCCGGCTGTGACTAGGTTGGGGCTCAACACAGCCCTTGATTGCAGGTAGTGGTGCCTCTGCAATGAACACCTTTGCCTCACTCTTCTTAGCTCAGAAACACCGTGAAGGGAAGAGGTGCACAAAGTGAGTCTGTTCACCTGCCTAGTATGCAGAATCAACGGAGCAAGGGCCCCACCTGCTGCTGGCAGGTGAAATGGCAGCAGGTTGGGAGGACACCGCACCATCGTGAATCCTGCCTAGAGCTTCTTTCCATGCCAGAGTGATCCAAAGCACCAATGAGAAGTATGATATTTGTAGAACGGCTTTATTCTGTCCTCGGGCACAAAGTGATAGGAGAGGTTTCTAATATTTTCTCTAAGGTCTCATGTCTTCATTCGTACTTATTTTTAGTTTTTTTTTTTTTGAATCAGAATCTATCTCTGTCACCCAGGCTGGAGTGCAGTGGCACGCTCACAGTCACCACAGCCTAGGCCCACTGGGCTCAGGTGATCCTTCTACCTCAGTCTCCCAAGTAGCTGGAACCACAGGCATGCACCACCGTGCTCAGCTAATTTTTTGAGTTGTTGTAGAAACGAGGTTTCACCAAGTTGCCCAGGTTGGTCTCGAACCCCTGGACTCAGACAATCCTCTTGCCTCCACCTCCCAAAGTGCTGGGATTACAGGTGTGAGCCACCACATTTGGCCTATTTATAGTTTTAAATAAGCTGTACTGCCCCAGAAGCAACCAGAGGAGCAATGGTTTTATAGCGGATCAAGTGCTGTGAGCCTTCCTCCAGGTCAATCACGTAGTCCCTGAAAGAAGAGGAGAAACATTTCTTTGCAGCGTTCAGCTGGCCCTCCATCAGGAGGGCTGTGCCCCTGCGAAAGACACACGTTACTCACCTCTGTTCATCAGTCTCTGGTTCTACCAGTATATTTTCTTGCCGCTCTTTCACTCTCAGAAACACATAGGAATCTAGATCTGGTTTGGGAACTGTCAGAAAAACAATAATGTCATATGGAAATGCTCAACTAACAAGGGCAATTGGGGAGGAGTTGCTGGCATTAATGGCATGGAGCACTCAGGAGCCCTGGCATAAAGGCATTTGAGTGACTGTTTCAGAGTCCCACAAATCTGCTATGTGTCTGACTTGCTCCTGGTGTTATAGGCTAGCCTCTATCCCTCCCAATTCATATGTTGAAGTCTGAACTCCTAGTACTTATGAATGAGACTGTATTTGGAGATAGGGCTTTGAAAAGAGAGAATTAAGTAAACACGAGGCTATTAGGATGTGACCTAATCCAATGTGACTGGTGTTCTTATAAGAGGAGACTAGAACACACAGAGAATGGGATTCATGATCTTGTAAAAGTGGCCTGAGGGAGCTTCCTTACTCCTTCCTTTCTATGTGAGGACACACAGAAGGCGCTATCTAAGAGGAAAACGTTCTTGCCAGATGCTGAATCTGCTGGGGCCTGGATCCTGGTCTTCCCAGCCTCCAGAACTATGAGCAGCCTGACCAGACGAAGACAATGTCCCACTACCACAGGATCTCAGTATGAGCCAAGACTCAGCACAGGTTGGGCAGAGATGCAATTCTAGGGCTCAGTGGCACTCGGGCTGGTGAACTCAGCACACCAAGCTTAGCCTGGGAACAAGGTGGATCCAGTCTCATGTGATTTGGTCTGACAATTTTTCCTGACAAGGTCTTGCTCAGATATGGAAAACTGTGAAAGACTGAGGAACATGGACTTTAACCTATAAGCCAGAGGTCGGCAGTCAGCCCAAGGTTAGGAGCTGCAACCATACCTCCCTTTCCTCAGCTCAGCAGACCTGAGGGGACAATGCAAGGAAGCTTGAGGCAGAGGCTTTCGCCAAGCTTCCTTTCCTCTCTCCACACTCTCCTTCCTGCTCCCTCTTCTAGAACGAGAGAAACTCTTCCCAAAAGAAGATTAGGCGCCCTTACCAGAGGCCATGGGGACTCACTAAAAGTTCCCCATGCTTCCTATTTCAGCCCTCCCCTCCAACTAGACAGTCCCTGGATGTTCTGGAATCTGAGACAAAGACCACCAGCCTCTTGAGAGCAGAAGCCATGCTGGAGCAGCCTCTGGAGCGCCCGTGCTCAGATACACCCAGGACGCCCTGGATGCTCCACAGATAGCTGCTGAAGGGATGAATGGCCAAACCCATGAATGAGTCAACACTTGTAATGGCATCCACAAGAGTAGCCTATCCTGAGGCACGCAAAAGTAATGCTAAAACAGCTAACGCTGTATCTTTTTCCAATGATTTCTGTTTTTAACCAGAACCCTTCCTCTCTTCTTTTTCCTTCTTATCTACATACTTATTCTTCCATATTGAGGAAAAAGAGTGAAGATGAAGTTCTTATTCTGAGGCACCTAAGAATACTTGGGATGTGAACAAGGCCCCTGAGGACATCTGAAAGGAGAATGTTCTGCTTACCTGACCTCAAGAGGTCCACCCTCTGTAGGTTGGGAGGCATATGCTTTAAGGCAACATTTTTAAGGTAGGTCTCTGTGTTAGCCATGTACCTGAAAGACATAAGTTCAAATCGCCTTGGCATGCATGACCAGTAGGAGTCATCGGAGCTATCAGATAAGAGTGCATAGTGCATAGGGCTCTGAGATGGGCTTCATGGATGGAGATACCAACACTCAGCTCACAGGCCAGGGGAAGAAAGGCAGGCCCATGCTGACTGCCTACTCACGCTTTGGCAAAGGCAAACTCTTCCGGAGAAAGGATGGAAGGCTCCCCCTCAGGGCGTATTTTCTCCTTCTCAAGGACATGAGGGAAAAACTTCTCTATCTGTGAGGACAAATAAAACCTCAAGAAAATCTCTGTCAAAGTCAAAGACAAGGATGTGGTAACATGAAGAGGGTATAACCCCCTGTTTTGGAAGGGTGTGGCCTGGTGGGTGGGGTGAAGTGGCACACTGAGCCTGGGGCTGGGTAACAGCATAGATTGGGAGATTCATAAACAGCTGAACAAAGAATGTGGACTCAGTGGACAGATGTCATTCTGCAGGGAAGTCTCTGGTGAAATACTCTTATACTGCCCCAGTCTGATTAATGAACCAGGTAAGATTTTTGATGACATGCTTACCAAAACTGCTGATGACATAAAATATTAAGGTAGAGCTAATATATCCGGTGACAAGAACAAGATTCAGAGAGCAGGGAAATGGCTCAATTTATTAAGTTGAAGGTTAAGAGGGATAGTATCAAGGCCAACACTTAGAGGTCAAAAACTAAGCCATGCAAATATAGGATGGTGACTGGATGGGGTAATTATAACTTAAAAATGGGGTTAGAGTCAGTGGTGAGTGCAGAACGAGCTGGCACCATGTGTCCATCAAATACGCTACTGTGAGAGGGGTGGCATCACTACCAGTTTAATGCCCAGAATGAGGGAAATGATCATCCTGTTTTTCACAAAAGTGGCCAAACTATAACTGGAATATAATGTTTAGCTCCAGGTGGTATAATTTAAGAAGAACACTGCCAAACTGGAACCATTTTAGAGACCAGGAGAAAAGTTAATGATTAAATGGTTGAAACATGCAGCTGAAAGACTTCGATGAGATGTGTGGGCTGTCTTGTTATCTGAAGTTCTCTCATGTAGAAGAGAGAATGTATTTTATTTGTAATAACTGAGGAGACAAATAGAAACAAATAAAAACAAACTTCAAGGAAGTAAGACTTTTCCAAGGTTAAAACAGACATCAAATGAAATAAGAATGTTTCATAATTTCCTTTTTACAAGTTATATGGCCACAGAGTTATAGTAGAACATGAAATTATCATGATTCATTAGACAATGACACTGTCCATTTCACAAATGCAAAATAATTTTTTTTTTAGTTAGGATCTCACTCTGTCACCCAAGCTGGAGTATAGTGGCACTGTCATAGCTTACTACAGCGCCTTAACTTCCTGGACTCAGGTGATCTTTCTGCCTCAGCCTCTTGAGTAGCTGGGGGCGATAGGTGCACACCACCATACACCCTGCTAATTTTTTAATTTTTTGTAGAGATGGGGGTGTCACTATGTTGCCCAGGCTGGTCTCAAACTCCTAGGCTCAAGCACTCCTCCCACCTTGGCCTCCTAAAGTGCTGGGATTACAGGCAAGTGCCACCATGCTTTGCCACAAAATAATCTTTTTTTAAAAATTAAAAAAAATTTTTTTTTTAGTTGGAGTCTCACTCTGCCGCCCAGACTGGAGTGCAGTGGCACGCTCCCAGCCACCACAGCCTCTGCCTGCTGGGCTCTGGCAATCCTTCCGCCTCAGCCTTCCAAGTAGATGGAACTACAGGCATGCTCTACCACGCCCAGCTAATTTTTGATTTATTGTAGAGATGAGGTCTCACCAAGTTGCTCGGGTGGGTCTTGAACTTGTGGGCTCAGGCAATTCACTCACCTTGCCCTCCCAAAGTGCTGGGATTACAGAGGCCACCGAGCCCAGCCCACAAAATAATCTTTAAAACAAATTCTCCTCCCATCAGTATTCCCTACTCAACCAATGCAAACTCTACTCTCACACTGCCATGTAACTTCACTCACATAACAGATAGATAAAATGCGTATGTTGTCCCCAGAGCAGGGTAACACATGTCTCATCTGAGCTTCCCCAGAGCAATCTCTCACCCTCCTCACTCTTGAGTTACACTGATACGGGACTCTTAGCAGCATCTTCAGGCCTTGGACCCTCAGGCCCCAGCCCAACTTCTGCCCAGGACATTTAGTTTATATTACAGACAGCATTGCCTTAATGCCTACAGGTATCTCCATGCCAAACCTTCATGAGTCGACACCGCAGGTAGCTGCTAAGGACATAGCGGATCCTCTCCATCTCCATTCGATGGATGCTGACCTTCAGATCCTCCTTTTTGGCTCTCCTGAGATTTTCTTCCTATTAAAAGAGAAACTGAAGCTTATAAAAAACATGATGCTCAAAGACTAAGAATCATAACCACTGACAGCACTGAGGACCCAAATACTGTTATGGTCAAAGGAAAAAAAAAAAAAAACCTAATCAAATGAGACTTCTCATTTTTTAAAATTACACAAACAACATATGACTGTCATCTTTACTATATAAAGTTCAAACGATGCTCATGTACTATTAGAAAATGAGTTGGAGTTGAACCTGGTCAGGCAGAACAGCCCAGAACTACAATCCAGTTGTAAAGGAAATAAGATAGCACACAGAAGAAATGTCTAATGAGTCTAAAAAAGTAGTGTTAAAATACCAGCTGCGAAACTGTAAAATGCCAACATTTTAAAGCTACTCTTAACAGTTATTTAAGCCCAGATCATCTAAGCCAGGGACCACAAACTCAAATGCTCACAGGGGCCAGGCAGGTGAGGGACACCGTTAGGGTGGGTGGTCAGGATCTGTGGGGAGCAGGGGTATGATGAGAGGGGTTATCTGTACCTTGCTCAGGTCAGTTGTTCTCATGCAGAAATTCGGGCCACTGATGGCAGGTTTTTAGACTTTTCATGGGAAGCTAATGCCCAGATATTCACAGGAACTCTCATGATTCGTAATATAGATAACGAATTCAGTATTTTTTTTTTTTTTAAACTGAGCTGAGCCAAACAAAACAGATTTCCTACTAGACCACAGACTCTCACTATGCTGACCAAATGCTTTTAAGTTCCTTCTCCTCTGTAAGCCTGTGCCAAGCAGCTCTTACCATGTGCTCTAGCTGTTCCACGACACACTCTACGATCTCAGACTTGCTCTCCAGTAGCTCAGGGGCAAACTTTTCATTCATCCAGGCCTAAAAGACAAACGCCAAAAAAAAAAAAAATGAGTATCTCTCACTGTGGAGTCAGTACATCCTCCCATGAAAACCATAGAAATCTCAGGAAATACTGCAGACACTTTGAAGACAAACTGTGTCTAAGGATGGCTTTTTCATATCTTCTTCTAGTGGGGAAGCTGTGCTCACTATCTTATATTTAACCAACATTAAAAAAAAAAAAATCACTGTCCACTTCAGTGGACACGACCCCTCTGGCTGAGAGTGACACCACCTGGTGTTCAAAGGTACCTCTCACCACCAGCATGAGCACATTTCCAGTGCTTCACAGCTACTTCCTGCCAGGGGCACCTGCACCATTTCTATTTGGAAAGATCAAGTCACACCATATGAATCTAGACATCGCTTCATCCCTGAAGCTAGGCACTTCAGAAGTGCTTTTTCATTCATCATTATAATATCTGAGAGCAAATGAATAGAGTGATTCTCATCTTATTGATGAAAACTACTGACTAAGTAATTTACCAATGGCCCCAAAGTATAAAGGATGACAACAGAAATAGAGGCTCACCTGTTAAGTTTTGGAGCAAGAGTTTACATCTCTGATTTATGACTCAAGCCCAGCTGCTCAGTACATTTTAGAGATTACCAAGGCTTAGAAAACTGAAATATCCGTAAGTGACTAAGGAAAGCTATACTTATCATTCAATCACAGGAAATTTAGTTTTAGCATAGCTCAGAATTACATGCCAATCAGGCCTGACTTATTTTTTCTGACGTCATTGAATCTCTGCTTCTCCAATGATCACCATTAAGACACATTAAGTACTGGGTACTGTTACTGTCATAAATGTTTTTTCAAGTGTTTGAGCTTCTGTAAAAATGTTGTAGAAATTAAAACTAACCAGAAACACAACCTGCATTATAAATGAGAAAAGATAAAGTTTTCCAGAGGATTATAAAAAGCAGTTTTTCTTTTTAATTGATTTTATTAAATATTAAAAACTATTTATGAAATATACATTGAACATGAAGAACAATGATATAAACACTTGTGTGTATACAACTTCATTAAGGAATATTATTATTTTAAAAGTCCCTGTGTGTCCCCCCTCCTCCGAGGTAGTCATTGACCTGAATTTAATGTTTAATTTCCTTTATGGTTTCACTGCACTTGATTGTATTTCTACCTAATGCTTGCCAGCCTTTTCATGACAGGACATTTAAAAAAAAATGACAGTGCTTACATGTACACTGGGGGTAAAGGGGAGTTGATTTGGGGAGATCTTTCATTTACATTATGAAATTATGACAAAATATAAAAGGGAACATTTATACTAGTAAGACACTTTCTTTTCTTTTTTTTTTTTCTGAGTTGGAGTCTCACTCTGTCGCCCAGACTGGAGTGCAATGGCATGCTCCCGGCCATGGCAGCCTCTATCTGCTGGGCTCTGGCAATCCTTCCGCCTCAGCCTTCCAAGTAATCAGAACTACAGGCACACACTGCCACGCCTGGCTAATTTTTGATTTATTGTAGAGACGAGGTCTCACCAAGTTGCCCAGGTTGGTCTCGAACCTGCTGGCTCAGGCAATCCACTAGCCTTGGTCTCCCAAAGTGCTGGGGTTACAGGCTGAGCCACCGACTCTGGCCAAGAAACTTCCAAATAAAATCTTTTCAAAATTTTTTGTAAGAAATCTGTTTAAATTCATGGTCTTCTAAAAAATAATCAGGTTCTACGATTGAAATGGCTCATCTGGTTCCTGATCAATATTTTTAACAACAATTTATCATTGTTATGAGTTGAATTGTGTTCTCCTCCAAAATTCCTAAGTTGAAGTCCTAACTCCCAGTAACTCATGATGTGACTATATTCAGAGACAGAGTTTTTAAAGAGGCATTTAAAATGAGGTTATAGGATGGCTCTATCCACTATGACTGGTGCTCTTTTTTTTTTTTTTTTTTTGAGTCAGAGTCTGGATGACAGAGTGTCGGAGTCTCACTCTGTCATCTAGGTTGGAATGCAGAGGTAGACTCACATCCACTGCAGTCTTGACTTCCTGGGTTCAGGCGATCCTTCTGCCTCCGTCTTCCAAGTAGCTACAGGGGCGTGCCACCACACCAGGTTAACATTTTGATTTATTGTAGAGATGAAGTCTTGCCATGTTGCCCTGGCTGGTCTCAAACCCATGGGTTCAGGCAATCCTTCCACCTCAGCCTCCCAAAGTGCTGGGATTACAGGCATGAGCCACTCTACCCAGCTATGACTGATGTTCTTAGAAAAGGAAATTTTAGCATAGACATGCACCCAAGAGGAAAGACCATGTGAAGACAGAGGGAGAAGACGGCCACCTACAAACCCAGGGCAGAGGCCTCAGCAGAAGCCAACCATGCTGGCACCTTGTTTGCAGTCTCCAGAACTGACAAATTATGTTTCTGCTGTTTAAGCTACCCAACCTTTGGTACTTAATTATGCAATCCTAGCAAACGAAAACTTAATCATTAAAATGAGACACTTTGCACTATAGATAATAACTTTTAAAATAATTTTTTACAGGCACTCAAGAGTATCCTGTTGCTGTGTGAGTGGCTTGACCAATGGCCCTATCAGGCTGCCCTGTAGGCCATGCCACACAGCACAAGAGCTTGGTCCTAGCTGCGGCAGCTGTGTAGGCAGTGGGTCACCTCCTTGCCTGCACTCTGGGAACTGTACCAGAGCACCCAGCACGAGATGCTCACCACTGCCAAGCTGAGGCTGTGTTCAGACCCTATTATGCTCAGACTGCCTTCCAGGGGTCCCCGATGATGCCAGGAAGAACAACCAATCTGGGCTCTGGATGTCCCTGGGTGGAGAGGTCACCAGTGTGAGGAATCTGCAGCATACCAGTATGTCACATCATCTAAGGTGGATATTCTGCCTGTAACATATTTTATTGCTGTTATTGTTCTACATTATATTTCTGCTATCCAGGCTTTTTCAGGAGCTACTTTACTCATTTTCACTGCAGTTTTTCCCCACTAAAATCCATTCTATTGTTGATGGACAATCTGTGTTATTTCCATTTTTAATGATTGCAAACAATGTCATGAACACACTGTGCATGTTTTGGGGGTACATATGGAAGTTATCACTAGGTATGAAGTTTTCTCTAGGAGCAGAATTACTGGGCCACAAGGTATATGCACCTTCAACTTTATCAGACAATAACAAATTATTTTCCACAGTGATTGTACCAATTTACACCCCTACAATAGCATGTAAGTGTGCAAATTGCTCTACATTGTTAATTTTCTTTCTTGGGGGGAACAAGGCTAGCCTTGAACTCCTGGGCACAAGTGATCCTCCCACCTCAGCCTCCTGAGTAGCTGGGATTATGAGATACCCCACTAGGCTAATTAAAAAAAAAAAGTTACGCCGGACATGGTGGCTCAAGCCTGTAATCCGGCACTTTGAGAGGCGGAAGCAAGAGGACTGTCTGTGCTCAGGGGTTTGAGACCAGCCTGAGCAACATGGTGAGACCTCGTCTCTATAATAAATCAAAAAATTAGCTGGCCGTGGTGGCGCATGCCTGTAGTTCCAGCTACTTGGAAGGCTGAGGCAGAAGGATCACCTGAGCCCAGCAGGCTGAGGCTGTAGTGGCCGTGAGCGTGTCACTGCACTCCAGCCCGAGCGACAGAGTGAGACTCTGACTCAAAAAAAAAAGTTACTCAGGCTGAAGTGCAGTGGCATGATCATAGCTTACTGCAGCCTTAAACTCCTGGGCTCAAGCAATCCTCCTACCTCAGCCTCCTGAGTAGCTGGGATTTCAGGCACATGCCACTGCATCCAGCTGTTCTACCATCTTGCCATGCTTTATACATTCCCCTTTTTCATTTCTGCCAATCTGATAAGTATGAAATGATATCTCATTGGGATTTTAATTTTCTTTTTCCTGATTACTAAAAAGGTTGAACATTTGTTCATATGTGAAGTGGCCATCCTGGCTTCCTCTTCTGGAAGACGCCAGTCTGTAAGGCCATCTGTATTGGGAAGTCTGTGAGGACTGTTCATGTACTGTGAATAATTGCCTTTTGCCAGCTATAGATCTTCTCCCAGCTTGGTGGCTTGTCTTTTCATTCTCATTAAGGTATACAAACAGAAGTTCCATATTTTAATGTGGTTGAAAGTATGTTTTTTCCTTTATGCTTTTTGTTTATTGAATCCTTTTCTAATGAAGCAGGAGTTCTTAAACTGTGGTCCACAGATTAAGTCTGTAGTCAGATTTCAGGTGGATCTGTGAACTCCCCTGAAATTATATACAAATTTCTGCATGGATGCATATGTGTATTATTCTGGGAAGAGGAACCAGAGCTTTCATCAGCTTTTCAAAAAGGTCACTGCTAAATAGTAAGAATTATCATATAAGACAATTTAAAAATTATCTTTCTTCAGTTGTGTTACTTATGACATAGCATGTAAGGCAAAAAAGAATGAAGAATACTGGCTAGGTGTGGTGGCTCATGCCTGTAATCCCAGCACTTTGAGAGGCCAAGATGGGAGGATCACTTGAGGCCAGGAGTTCGAGACCAGCTGAGGTGACATAGCAAAACCTAATCACTACAAGAAAAATAAAAAGGAATAAACCTATTTCTTTTTTTAAAAAAAGAATGCTAAATCAGAAAACATGAGAGCATTTTAGAAAGGGATAGTTAAAAGGAGAGGGGAAGAATAAGATAGCAGGTGTGGTAGATTCAGAACACATGTTTGGAGTCAAAGGGATCTGAGTTCATATCCTGACTCTGCTATGACCTTAGGCAAGGTATTTTTAAATCTCTAAGCTTCAGTTGTGCATCTATAAATGGAGACAACAGTAATACCTGGCCCATAGGGTAAGGATTATTACTACTAACAGCTAACATTTAGTCAGTGCTACCATGTGTCAGAAAACATGCTGAGCACTTTATATCTATTATCTCATTTAATCATCTCAACAATGCTAGGAAGTAGCCACTATTATTATCTCCATTTTACAGTCAAGGAAAGGCTTGAGACAAACTCTATAACTTGCCTAAGGTCACATAACAGAAAAATGGCATGGAGAAACTTAAATACAGATAGTCTGAACTCCTAAATTACAAGAGCTTCATGAGACATAGCTGTAAAGAACTTAGCACAGTCACTGGCACACAGGAAATATGCACTAAGTCATAGCTAGTGTGACTAAAAGGAGAATATTTCAGAAATGATTTTAGGTAAGCAGTGAAAATATAAGGGAAGAATTTTTTTTTTTTTAAAAAGAACAGTTTTTTCTTAAAGAAGGCATTTCAGCACCTTGTTGCTAGTGCAGGCACTCTCCAGAGATACCGCAAATGTTTAAAGGAACTAAAGTACAGAATTTAGAAGTCTCAACACACATCTACAATACCAAACAGATCCTTGCTCTAGGAACTGTTCTGTGAAATGTGTCCAAAGTTGTCCCTTTCTAAACCCACTTAAAGATTCTGTGTTTGATATCATGAAGTTTCTTTTCTCCTTTTTCTGAGTCGGTGTTGAAGTCTCACCCTGTCGTCCAGGTTGGAGCGCGGTGGCACGATCACAGCTCACCACAACCTGGACCTACTGGACTGCCACTTCATCCTCCTGAGTAATTGGGACCACAGGTGTGTGCCATTTTCTGATTTTTGTAGAGATGAGGTCTCACAATCTTGCCTGGTTTGGTTTTGAACTCCTGGACTCAAGCGATTCTCCCTCCTTGGCCTCCCAAAGTGCTGGGATTACAGGTGTGAGCTACCGAGTTCGGCCATCACAAGGTTTCTAAAAGAGGATATTCCCCCCACTTCCTATTTCTGTGTTCATGGTAAGATTCAGTCTCTATTCTCTTTTAATGAGCCTTGATTCCACTTCCTCAGTTTTCTGAACCCTGACATTCACACAGCTGGACTAAATAAAATGCCTACAACTGGAGCAAAGGGATTCGATTTGGAATGCTTACCTGCTCCAGCCTTTCAATGAGCTCTGCAGGAGTCAGGACCACCTCCTCGCTACCACCATCAGAGTCCTGTCCCATGAGATCCAGTTCCTCTGTCATCTTCTCTGAAGCCAGGAACCAATGAAAATAAAGGAACCAAGACCCTGAAATGTGTTTTCCATATTTGCAAGAAAAGGCAACTATATATCTGGAGAAAGAAAGGCTTACTGGGGCATAGAAGCCCATTGGCAGCAGCTGGAGAACAAACAGACTTTAGTTTTTTATGTTTATAACTTATTTTGGGGCACAGGCCAAGTGCCAGTTTCTCAAACAGGCCTCCCTTCTGTTTCTACCATCTACACCTTGAACTGAGCACCTCTCACTTCACACAATAATTATTTCAGTCATCTGTCTTCCCAGGAGACGTCCATCTGCTCAGGGGCTGAGCCTGCTTCAGTTCAGATGCGAATTGTGCCACTGCCCAGTGCTTGGCCCCAAGTCCTGAGGACACACTGACCCGTGGAGCGCCTGGCCTTAAGTCCTGGGACACACCGACCCGTGGAACTCTGGCCCTAACTGCTGGGGATACACCGACCTGTGACATGCCCTGGCCCTAATTTCTGAGGACACACCGACCCGTGGGGCTGAGCTCAGCCGGGGCCTAAGCCACGGCAGGCACTTACAATTGCTCGAAACATTCATCAGTGCCCAACCTCTCAGAGCCACAGGTCCGGCAACAGACCAGGCAGTGGCCCCGAAGGCTTGAAGAGGTAAGTAGTGGGGACAGGGGCGTCCCGGCACCCCACATACTCCCCTCTCTTCTCCTCCCTTAGTGCCACCCTCAGACTCACCTCTCCAAGATACTCAGGAGGCTCGCTCGAGAACCGGTAAGGGGCGGGGCACCGCGGATCAACAGGCGGCGAGCTCGAGGACGTGGCGGGGCAGCCAGGGTCCTTTCCAGGAGTGCCTGGAAGCGGACAATCAGCGGAACGATCGGTGCGAGGCCGCGGGCGCCGAACCCGAACCCCAGGTCTCTACTTCCCGCGCTCTCCACGGAAGCTTTCCGCCCAAGCACTACGTCACCGCGCACGGGCGGTGCCAACCATTCACGAGCGGAGAAGAGCCGGCGGCCTACTGACCCCGCCCACCTGAGGCGGGTGCTCTACCTCCCGGGCGCGCCGAGTGGCGGTCGCCACTGCACCACAGAGCGGCCTCGACAGGGGGCGCCCCGCCACCGCGGCGAGCGGAGCCGGCGGGTCAGTCCGGCGTCCCGGGTGCGAGCGCCCGGGTAGGGTATTCTAGTCGCTAGCGGGTCCAACCCAGGAACGCGCTGGCCCCTGCGCCATCTCCCCGCAGTTGTCGTGGTCCTTCGGCGCCTTCATTTTGCCCTGGCCTCAGCTCGCTCACCTCCTCCGGTTCTTCTGCAAGCCTTCAGGCTAGCGGTGGGAGCCAGACTCCAGCAGCCGCGCCTGAGAACCGTGAAAATGCGGGTTCTTGGGCCCCACCCACCAGACCAGAATCCCACCCACCGCACCAGAATCCAGGGTTTTCTGCAGACCCTGACTCTGCTGCGACTCTGACGCGAGTGAGGGGAGAATCGCTTTCTAGGCACTGCGTCCGCCGCAGCTGCCGGGCTCGAGGAGGTAAGAAGGATGGAGATGCTCCGTCGAGACTGGAGCCATGCCCTAGGTGCCCCAGCACCTGGCCTTTGCATCCTCTAGATGTCTGGGTCGAATGAGCCCTCAGCAGAGACGAGCCGCTCTCCTGAACCCTGCCCAGATGGCAGATTTGTGAGCAGAATAAATATTGCTGTTTTAAGCCCCTATGTTTTGAAATTGTTTGTTATGCATCGTTAGGTGACTGGAACATCGATCTTTGAGCACAGCCCCATTCTTCCATCGTTCTCATTACCAAGTAGTTTTCCAATTATATTTATTAATATTCCATTAAGTGTTACAGATTTGAGCCCAAGCACCGATAACTCTGCACAAGTACCGATTACTTAGCTTACTGATTTAGAGACTTCCCTTCTCTGAGGCCAATTGCCTTCTCCAGTCGTTCGCTGCTCCTGTCTTGGGGAGCAGGAGCCCAGCTTCTGCTTCTTTACTTAGTAAAGGTGTGACTTTAAACAAGTCACCTCTCTGGCTTTTAATTGTATCACCTGTTAACTGAGAATAATTGGTGTTTGCCTGAAGGCAGAGGAAAGGACCCTCAAACTTGGGAGGACCCTTTTCCCATCTAAAATCTTTGATTTCAACTAATATTTATCAGATGAAAACACTTCAGAGGAAAATGAATTTGCAGAGAAGTATTTTCACTATGTAAGAAAAGGATATTTAAAGAGATGTCAAAAAAGAATATAGAAAGCTACATGGGGAAGCAGTATGAACTTTTGGCGAAACTGTTGGTCACATGGCACTGTAAAGTTCAGGAAAGTGGGAGTAGAGATATATCTTTAATATGTTTTGTAGAATGAAGAGAAAAAAATCAGCAACAGGCTGGGTGCAGTGGTTCATACCTATAATCCCGGCACTTTGGGAAGCTGAGGTGAGAGGATTGCTTGAGTCTACCAGTTCAAGACCAGCCTGGGCAACATAGCAAGACCGTTTCTCTACAAAAAAATATAAAAATTAGCAGGACATGGTGGCACAGCTGTAGTCCCAGCTACTTGGGAGACTGAGGCGAAAGGATTATTTGAGTGCAGGAAGTTGAGGCTGTGTTGAGCCATGACTGTGCCACTGCACTCCGGGCGAGGTAATAGAGCAAGACCCTAACCCAAAAAAAAAAAAAAAAAAAGAAAGAAACAAAGAAAGAAAAAGAACACCTGGTTGATGTGTACCCACTGTCAATAACCTTTTTTATTTTTTATATTTAGAAACAAAAAATATGGCATAGCCATATAAATGGAATACTTTTTATTAAAATGCTCACTAAAATAAAGAGGATGGCATAGGTTATAATTACAGGAGGATGAAGTTTGGCGGTGGTTAACATAACTGCAGGACAGCATTTGTAGGCAAGCTCTGAGGATTAAAAGAGCAAGATGAACATACATGAATTCAGACAAGTAAAATAGGGAGCTACAAAGATGGCAAAAGAAGGAAAAACTGGCCAGACACAGTGACTCAAGCCTATAATCCCAGCGCTTTGGGGGAGCCAAGGCAAGAGGATTGCCTGAGCCCTCAGGTTTGAGACCAGCCTGGGCAACATAGTGAGACCTCGTCTCTACAATAAATCAAAAAATTAGCCAAGTGTGGTAGCACGCACCTGTAGTTCCGGCTACTTGGAAGGCTGAGGTGGAACCCCGCAGGTTGATGCTGGGGTGGCCATGAGAGTGCCACTGCACTCCAGCCTGGGCGACAGAGTGAACTCCAACTCAAAAAAAAAAAAAAGAAAGAACAAACTATTGCCTGAGGTTGAAGAGGAAGTTACAGAAAATAGAATCCTATGCAATTTCCATATATTCTCAATGAAGACATTAATGGAAATTATAGACACAGCAAATAGAAACAATATTTGTGGATTGCCATGAAAGATACACTCATAAGAAAGAGGCTGGACATGGTGGCTCATGTCTATAATCCCAGCACATTGGAAGGCTAAGGTGGGAGGATCGCTTGAGTGCAGAAGTTTGAGATCATCCTGGGCAACATAGCGAGACCCCACGTCTACCAAAAATTTTTAAACAAATTAGCTGGGCATGATGGCACGCATCTGCAGTCCCAGCTTCTCAGGAGGCTGAGATGGGAGGATCACTTGAGCCCAGTTCAAGGCTGCAGTAAACTATGATCACTCCATTACACAGAGTGAGACCCTGTCTCAAAAAATATTTCGGCCACCAAGGATGAAAGACAATATACACTGTATATCTATACAGAATTAGGAGTTTTCTGGAGAAAGATGCTTTCAAAATACAAGGGAATACTATCATTATTGTTTTGTATCACAGCCTTACCTTGTTTGGTCAACAGCTGTTTCTCACAGTTTCCTTCCTCTGAATTTCATCACATTCTTGGTTTCCCTACCCTAAGAACCAAAGCATTAAGGGTTGAGAGTGTATTAGGTAAGCAAAGTTTAACCCAAGGTTTTTCTGAATTAATGAAGATTAGGAATAAGGATGGGAAAGTAAGAGGATAGCTTGCATTTTTAAGGAAGGCAGAAAAGTGCTCTTAGATTGTTTCATTTTAGTCTCTTAAGGTGAGTTTGTTAATTTTTCAGGTCAATGGTAAGACCCAATTTCTGCTGTATGATAGGAAAACTCCAGGCCCAGGTGTGGATCTCCCTTTCCAATGTAAAATTTGGACAATTCTGGTATTCCAAATTCCTTTTTTCCATACCCTAGCTCCTCTAAAACAGTGTGAGAAGATATAAAAACTATACTGCCCATTGCCTGATCCAGAATAGGCAATGATCAGAAATTTTTTTAAAAAGAAATTAAATCTATCTTCTGAAATACTGTGACTAACATAGCATTTAACAGGTTGAGTAAGATGATTTTCTTAATGATTTTCTGAATGAAAGAAAAAGAGAAAGGTGTCCTTTCCATAAGGAAAATCATATGCCCTTTATATCATAGGCATTTTTTTTTTTTTTTGAGTTGGAGTCTCACTCTGTCGCCCAGACTGGAGTGCAGTGTCCGCTCCTGGCCACCGCAGCCTCGACCTGCTGGGCTCCGGCGATCCTTCTGCCTTAACCTTCCGAGTAGCCGAATTACAGGCATGTGCTACCATGCCCAGCTGATTTTTTGATTTATTGTAGAGATGAGGTCTCACCAAGTTGCCCAGGCGGGTCTTGAACCCGCGGGCTCAGGGAATCCACTCACCTCAGTCTCCCAAAGCGCAAGATTACAGGCTGAGCCACCAAGTCCGGTTTATCATAGCCACCAAGCCCGGCTTTTGAAGAAAAGCTTGTATGCCTAAGTGCTGGGCAAGTCTTCATATTTATTGGTCTCTGTAATTTACTTGAGGGAATTGTCCTAGAGTCTAAATAAAAACCAGGCCAAACTCAGTATTTCTTTTATTTCCTTCCTTCCTTCCTTCCTTCCTTCCTTCCTTCCTTCCTTCCTTCCTTCCTTCCTTCCTTCCTTCCTTCCTTTCTTCCTTCCTTCCTTCCTTCCTTCCTTTCAAGTAGATGT